TTTCTTGCTTGTTCGTCCAGCCTCACCTTTCTCCATTGCCCCTTCTCCCGGATGCCCCCAGCCTCACCATTCTCCATTGCCCCTTCTCCCGGATGCCCCCAGCCTCACCTTTCTCCATTGCCCCTTCTCCCGGATGCCCCCAGCCTTGCCTTTCTCCATTGCCCCTTCTCCTGGATGCATGCTACAGCCAGCCAAGCATTACCACGTGCGGTTCCCAAAATGGGCTCCTGCTCCATCCTCTGCCTCAAACTCCTGCCCTCTCCCCTCTCCCTCCTCCCCAGGTGACATCCCACTTGTCTCCAACAGGACAACAAAAGGAATGTTCCTCTGTTGCGACTCCAGAAGGAATGACTGGAACATGATACCATTCATACAGAAGGGGGAATCTGACTAGACGTAGCATCATAGCTCCAGGTCATTGTTTGGCAGAGATTCCAGTCAAAGTATTGTTATCAGGAGAAATATGCCTTCCCTCATGCAGACTAGACTGGGGGTTCAGCCAGAGAAGCACCCAGCGTGGCCCCCAAGTCTTCTTGTATGCATTTGAAAAGCACCCACAGCCATGCATTGCAGGTGGAGACAGACCTCCCTGACATGGAGGTACCCACAGGCACCTCGTCCTCATTCCTCCCTCTGACCCCATCTCAGCCTTCTCTCCAGAGAAGTCATCAGAAGCCAGGGTAGGCAGTCTTGCCATGTTGCTCAGGCTGGTTTCGAACTCTTAGGATCAAACAATCCTTCTGCCCCAGTCTCCTGAGTAGCTGGGATTACAGGTGAGGGTCACCATGCCCAGCTGGACAGACACTAGTGACACTGGACTGGCAGAATTTGTAGCTTCTTGAGAAAGCCTTAGGACTGGCGCGAATCAGTTATTCCGTGGGGGAGCTTCTGAGCTGAAGGAGAATGCATGAATGCCAGGCAGTAAGGTTTAAAAAGGATGTAGAATGGCCACAGGGAGGACTGAAGGAATGAGAGCGCTCTCAAGGTGTAGTCAGTGAGTCCTCCACAGATGCCCCAAAGAGGAGATTCAGAGGTGACAAATGCATCCGCACTCAACAAAAGGCACCAGAGGACTGCCGATGGGTTCCCTAAAACAAGTGTGTGACCTCAAGCCCAGGGCTGCCTGCAGGTTCTGCACCTGGGGTGAGAGTGATCAGGGAGCAGGTGCAAGGCAGATTCCTGATGGTCTGGAGGGCTGGGTGTTCCCTCATCCCTGTTAGGAAAAGGAGAGGGGTTCCTAAGTCAGGTGAGGGGGTTTTTTGGGAAGTACTTGCAGAATGTGATGTGGCCCTTGGAATCTGGAGGACCCAGAGAGAGAGGGTGCCTGATCTCAGTCTGTCTGTAGCATTCTGAAAACGAAAGTCTGACCTAAGGCCCCCTTGGGTGTAGGGTGAGAGAACAAAGTGTGAGCAGCCTGCTTTCCCAGAGTTCAGAGGAGTGAGCGCGTGCTCCCCATGAACCAGAGTGGATGCTGCAGAAGGTTATGAGGCTTGAGCTGTCTTGAAAGGGTCTCTCCCAAAAGGTCCACCAGCAGCCAGAAGTGACCACAAATGAAGAGACTGTGAAGGGTGGATCTCCAAAAGCAGAAGCTGGGAGGAGCAATCAAAATGGCAGGCCCATGGGGCATCACCTGCATGATTGCACCCATGAACCATGCAGGAGGCATCACCTGCACCATTGCACCTGTGGGCCATGCAGTGGATGTCACCTGCACCCCTGCAGCCATGAGCCATGCAGAGGGCATCACCTGCACCATTGCAACAATGAGCCATGCAGAGGGCACCACCTGCACCTTTGCACCCGTGAGCCATGCAGAGGGCATCACTTGCACCATTGCACCTGGGAACCATGCAGAAGGCATCACCTGCACCTCTGCACCCACGAGCCATGCAGTGGGTGTCACCTGCACCCATGAGCCATGCAGGGGGCATCACCTGCACCTCTGTACCCATGAACTGTGCAGTGAGCAGGGGACTCCAAGGTGGTTCCCCAGAGGAACGTTTTCACAGAACTCACCATAATCAGAGCTAGCGTTTGGGTACTGTCTCTCCTTCCTACACTTTGTCTCCCCATTCTTCCTCTACCTCCCCATGGAGACCAGGCCAGTCTAGGGGATGGGAGATGAGTTTAGGGTGAGAGACAAATCCTGAAGCAGCAGCTAGCTCTGCTATCTCCCCACTGCGGGTTTCCAAGACCAATGCAGGTCGATGCTGGACAGAGGGCAAGAAGCTTTAAATGGGAGACCTGAGAGCTTTCATATCAGATTAATCTAGACTTTTTTTTTAACCCTAAAAAACTGAGACTGCTTATTAAGACCTAAACCTGGTTAGGAAAGCTATGAATTGAAGATATATATATATGTGGGTGAGTTGAGGTGATGACAAGGAAGCATCAGTTTTTTATTTTTGCTTACCCTGCACCAAGTCTAGCTCATTTGATGAACCAGTGATGTCAGCCACACTGGAGCCATATTCCCCATCATGGAAACCTTGGACCCATACACAGATAAGAAAGCTTTCAGAATTCTTGTGGGCTTTGCATAAACTAAAATTTTGGCCAGAAAACAGACACAAAGCTGCATCCTAAATTGGTCTAACCTTTCTTAAAGTTAGCCATCCTGAGAAAAGGGGACCACTCTAGTGTCGACTCTCCTGAAGCTCCCAGGGCTGCTTAGGCAGGATTCATGATCCTGCTCAGTGAGCACTCATCTTTTCACATGGAGCCTGGCATCACCCTGCACTGGCTTCAGGGGAGGTAAGGGCAGCCACAGCCAGGCAACCCAAGGGCTTCTGCACTGACATCCCGGGAATTCATTCTGCCTTACTGGTGAGGGCTGTTGATTCCAGGCACAGACCCAAGAATTGGAAAATGTCAGGCTCTGCTCGGCAAGTCCCTTCTGTGATTGAGAGAAATGGATGAGTTTGAGGGGAATACAAATGCAGGAAGCACTTAAAATGACTGAATAAACCCACAAGCCTTTTTGCAACCTTTTAGAGGGAGCAGATAAAGAGTAAGGTGGGGAAAATTCCTTCTAGGAGTCTCACCCTCAAGTGCGGGAGACGTTACTTTTCTGTGCAAATGAATACTTCAATATTTCTCCCACTTGACTTTTTTTCTTCTTCTTCCTTTTTTTTAAAGGTGGAAGTGTGTGTGCGGTGTGTGTGTGTGTGTGGGTGTGTGTGTGTGTGTGAGAGAGAGAGACAGAGAGAGAGAGAGAGAGAGACGGTATATTAGTTTTCTAGGGCTGCTGTAACTAATTACTACAAACTATGTGGTTACAACAACAGAAATTTATTCTTGAAGTTCTGGAACCTAGAACTCCAAAAATCAAAGTTTCAGCAGGGTCGCGTTCTCTTTCTGAAGGTTCTAGGGAAAACTGCTCTTCTCGATCTAGTGGCTCCAGGCATCCCTTGGCTTGTGGCAGCCTCACTCTAATCTCTGCCTTCATTTTCCCATGACCCTCTCCTCTGTGTGCCCATATCATCTCTTCCTCTGTCTCTTATACCAATACTTGTCATTGGATTCAGAGTCAACCTAAATAATCCAGGATGATCTCATCTTGAGATCCTTAATTACATCCACAAAGACCCTTTTTCCAAATAAAATTACAGTCAGATTCCTAGTGGATGTGCTTTTTGTTGGGGAGGAGAACACCATTCAACCCACTGCAGAAGACCAAAAGACAGAAATGAAATGATAAATTGTTTAGGGTCTGGGAATAAGGAACTGGGGTTCATGGGAAAGCTCTTCCATTTGAGGGGTACATATCCAGCCCCTCCTTGTCTCCACACGGCATGCCCCAGTGGGGGTCTCCATACCATTGCCTCTCTTGGAATCTCTGGTCTGGGTCACATGGGGACATTGGGATCAAAAGGAGAGAGCTGTGCTCTCCCAGGGCTTTGTACGAAGACCATGCCTCTTTTCAGTGGCACACAACAAGAGCATCAGTGTGAGCAAGGAGTCAGAAAGGACTTATCTTTCTTGAAATTAAAAAAAAATCAATTAACTATAAGGAAGGCAAAGCCTGCTTCTCCAGGACCAACTCTTTAAATGGATACTACTCTCTTAAGGATAATTAAAAGTCCTTTGTAAATTTTGAAGAGCTATAGAAACATGAGATTTCTTCATATCATCATCATTAATCCAAGGAAATAAACCCTAACAACAGCAAGTACCTTCTGTACACTGAGCACGTTCCACATACTGCACGTGGACATGCGCCACGCCACACATTTTACTCCTCCCAAAGCCTCAGTTAGTCTCATGTCTCATTTTCCTTTTTTCCTTTTTTTTTTTTTTTTTTTTTTTGGACAGGGTCTCACTCTGTCATCTAGGCTGGAGTACAGTGGTGCAATCATGGGTCACTGTGCAGCTGTGACTTCTTGGGCTCAGGTGATTCTCCCACCTCAGCCTCCCCAAGTAGCTGGGACCACAGGTATGCACCACCACACTCAGCCAATTTTTTGTTTTTGTTTTTTGTAAAGGTTATGCCATGTTGCCCAGGCTGGTCTCAAACTCTTGGGCTGAAGCGATCCTCCCACCTCTACCTATCAAAATGTTGGGATTACAGGTGTGAGCCAATGCACCCAGCCTCAGTTTCCTTATTTTTTAAATGGAAATGAAAATACCTCCTTCTCCAGTTGTTCTGAAAATCACATAAGTAAAACAGCTTGTCCAAGGTCATACAGCCAGGGAGTGATTCAAATCCAAATTTTTCTGATTCCAGAACTGCTAAACTGAAATCCAGTGTGACTTTTTTAAAGGGGCAGTTTGTGTGACTTTTTTAAAGGGGCAGTTTCTGCTGGGGGGATACTTTTTTGCACTCTTGGGAATTGTCTTCTCCCCCTTCAGATTCTTCACCTGTCTATCTTTTAGAAAAATGAGGGACAGGTGGATCTTCAGGGGATTAGACTTGGTGTGGAGCAGCCGATTCTGGGCTGAGCAACTGGGCATTCTCTGATTTTCTGATCCCAAGTCTCTAAGCCATGGTTCTGCTGTACCTCAAACAGGCTTGTAGAAAACCGCAGGACTTTGGGCACTGGGCTGCTCTTCTGCAGGAATGTATGGAAACCCGGGTAGAGGAAGGATGCCTTCATGGAGGTTCAGCCTGGCTGGGGAGAGAGAAATCCAAGCATAAACAAAAGAGTGTAACATCGAGTGTTGGTAGGAGAGCAAACTGTAAGTAACAGGGTGCAGGGAAGTGGACAACGGGAAGGATGTGCTTTGTTCACGTCACAGCTCCGGTCCACCCACCTCCACGAAGCTGACTTCACGCCTGCTGCTGGCCCCCTTTCTGACGGCAGGAGGCAGGCTGACATCCTGTCTCCTTTTGCCAGGAATCTCAGCCAGTGACTCTAGGGTGGGACTGTGAGCACCTGGAAGAGTGAAGAGTGGTTCCATGGATCTGCCTGACACTCGGGTGTCCCAGACTCCTCTGCCCTTCAAGGCTCACATGCTCAATAATGCCCTGAAAACAGTGGTGCAAGCCCTGCACTCCTGGGACTCCCTCAGGAATGTTGTCCTCACTGTGAGGGTCACCTCATCAGCCATCTGGCTCTCTGCCCAAGCTTGAACACTGCGCTACTTGTTCTAATTATAGACTGTAATGGTTAATGGAGTTTTGATGAAAGCTTGGGGATAACAGGAGGTTTGGCTACTCTTGGAGTCCAGGGGTCAAACCTTCCTCAAGGTCTCCACTGCACACCATTCTCTATGGTCACAGTGAAGCCAACTCGGATCCCAACGAACCGTGTCTCTGCAACTTTGAGTCCAGGCAGGTATTTTCTGAGGCTCCCATAGAAGAAGAAAAAACAGCTGTTTCCAGGAAAAAAGTCATGTGAGACTTGCAACTCTGCCCTCAATGAAGACATTTCAATTACACAAAATGTGTATATTGTTGTCTTAAACCACTCTATTCCAGAAGATGGTCTGGGATATACATGTTTCGTAACCAAAAGGTTTATTGAAGTTTTATTCTGTGATTAATGATGCTGTCCCCTGTCTCTAGAGAAACAGAAACATAATAGGGAGGTTTGGAAAGGGCAGGTCCGTCCTAAATTGATATTCTTTAGGGAAAAAAAAATAAAAAGAACTAGAGCCATAAGCAAAGAGTAAATGGATGGAAAGAAAGAAGAATGGAGGGAGGGGGAAGGAAATAAGAAGGGGAGGAGAAAGCCTTGTTAGATGCTGGCTTTGCAAACCATTAGCTGCCGGCTTAGTTACAACTCCTTAAAGCCCCGGTCCCTTCATCTGCTTGGGGACAGATTAGCAAAAAAGAAAAACTTCGCCCCTGAGAAGTACAAATTCTCTGTGAGATCTTTGAGGTATCTGAGTAAGGTTAAAAGGAATGTTTCTCTCTAAAAACTCCTTAATCCCTTTAAGACATGGAGTGTTCCCTGCACCAGGTGGCTGGTTGTACCCGATACAGTGGCGTAGACCTCAGAGTTAACTATTCCTCATCATGAGTAATTTTTTTTAAATTAAGAATTTAAGGCATGCAATGATCCAGTTACGATGATTTTCTCTTAAAGATAATATCCCTTAAAATAGCATAACAAATTAGGAATCCAATTTGTAGCAAGATTTTTAAAAATTAAACTCCAGCACTCAAAGTTAGCATCTCCTTACATTAAACTATCAAATGTGACTCAGCTTAATCTTGGCTCGCTGGTTTACATTATTATCCCAAATGTTTAGATCTGTAATTTCTTAGCAGTACCATTTCTTTGAGGCTCTACAGATTTCTATGTTTAAGAAAAGAATGAAAGGAAAAGGGAAGTGAAGGAAAGGGAAGGGCAAGAGGGGAAAAAAGAGAAGGGAAAGAAAAGGAAAGAGAAAAGAAAAAGCAGAAAAGAAGGGAGAAACAAAAAGAAAAGAAAAAAGCCTCTTGATTTAGTAGGGTGCTATGTTACTTCTGCTTCCAAGTCCTACCAATTAGCTCCAGCACATGGCTTTTCTTGGCAGCTTTCTGCTTCCCATCCCAGATGGTATGGAAAAGTCTGGCTGCTGACTTTCTGGCTCTTCTTTCCTACTTCCTCTCTGCACAGCTAATTTAAGAAAGTCTACACGATACCAGGACAACTGTCAGCCCTGCCTCATTTCCCCTGCCTCTGCCTTCTCCAGCCACCCACAGCCACGGCTGCCCTCCTCTAGCACCTGAGCCTGATTTGACAGCAACAGGAAATAAATCAGCGTCCTCAACCACATGGGGTGGAATTCAGCTGTACCCCCCTCCCTATGAGGATCCAGTGACCCACATATACTTCTGGGCTCCTGCAAGCTCCAGCTGCCCTTGGGCATTTTCTTTGCTGCCAACCATATCCGAGTGCTAGTCAACAAGGCAAGACCTGCAGGCTTACACAGCTCACGCTTGAGCACGCCTCGCCCTTCCAATGTGGGTCCACTCCATGGACCTAGGCTACTACATGGCCCTGAGTACCTCCTCAATCACCCTAGGCAGGGCAGTCCTAGCATCTACACTTGATAGCCATATCCTGGTTCTTCCCACCTCACGCCATGGGGTCCGCTCATTTCTCAATGCCTACTGAGGAGTAGGCAGGATTTAACAGGCCATATGTGGACCCAACTATGATTATAGGCCCTGCTGGGGCCAGCATCTCTGCCTGGACACACTCCTAATCCACACACTCACTTCCTGCACTTGGCTTTTGGAATGCATGTGTAAGCAATGAGACAGGAACTCCCTACTGATGGCTGATGTGACAGAACCCCACTGCTGCCAGCGAAGAGCCGGGCACCCTGTGGTTGCTCGGTGCCCAAAACTAACAGCTGCAATTGGGCCAGGAGTAGAACCTGCTCAGGTCAAAGGAGCCTTTGTGAAGCACAGCTCTGACCCATCGCTCCCCTGCTCCATGATTTCTGATGCTTTCTTATTGCCTGCAAAAAAGCTTGACCCACAAATTCCCTTACAATCTGGTTTTGGGGTTTTCCAGCTTCACTTCCCAGTGCACCCCTACACAAGTCCTCCTCCAGCCACCCAGAGACTAGCCACCATTCCTCACACACACCAGGAAGTTCGGTAGCTTTGGGCCCTTGTTCATCTCCATGCACTCCCAGAATCCTGTTCCTGTGTCTTAGCACATTTTATTGTAATTAGCTGTTTACCTGCCGGTCTGTCCACTGGATTTTTCATGTCCTCAAAACACGTTCATTCTCTTATTCCTCTTTCCATTGCCAATATCTGCAATGTAGTGGGATCACTGTAAGCCTTCAATGCATATTTGTTGTTAAAAAGTTGGTCCAGAAAGTTGATGACCCACATCAAAGATGAGGGCTCAGGGTGTGAACCATGGTCAGGAATGAACACGGGGACACAAGCTCAGAAAGTCATAAGGAAGCCCAGAATCACATTTGGCTACAGAAATCACGGAGGGCCTCATCAAGAAAATCACGTTTGCATTGTGTCCTGGAGGACGATGGGATTTCAACAGGTAGAGATGTGGAGGGTATTACTGTAGCAGAACTTTTTAAGAAAAAGCAGAGAAGTAGGAAAAGGCCGAGAATGTTCAGGAAAAATTGGGTACAGTTTTCCTAGAACATGGTTTAAGTGAAAGTGCGGTGGAGCAGGTGCCAGAAAGGCAGCAGGGGCCAGATCCTTGCCAGCGGCAATGCCAGGCTCAGCACCACGAGTGTTTTCAGATGCCCTGGTAAACCGTGGGCGGCAGTCTCTGCTGTGAAAGGGTTGGGGAGTGATGTAACGATTCAGGCTGGGCTGTCACTTCTGCCTTTGCCAGGAAAGTTATTAGAGTGAGGTTGCTAATGTGGCAGTCACAGGGGTGAGCTCACTGACGCACGAGTGAATTGAACATCCGGGAGGGACCAGGGAAGCCACCTTCACTATCACTCATTGCCAAACCGTAAACGGGGCCACGGATCTAACTGCTTCAGTTTCACTTCTTGGTGTTGTTTAGATACTGCCTGATAGAGAAAGCAGAGGAAAGTGTTCAAAAGCTGAAAGACGAAGACAATGGCTATGCCTTGGTCCTGGCAGCAAATGCGAGCAAGCTCAAAGGTGGGTGGGATGTCATTGAGTTAGTCCTCAGTGTGAGTGGAAAGGCTGTGCCCAGGCAGCCGGGCTAAGGTGCTTCCTTAGCAGGGACCCAAGGGCCGGGCTTTCAAAGGCCCCTCTTCCGGAGGCTGAGGATCGGTCTGTCCTACAGCCCTGTGCTTCCAGCCTCTTCCTCGTTCCTGTCAGTGTCTGCAGAAGCTCAGGGAAAGAAGGAGCCCGGGCTCCCGTAATAAAAGCGCTCACTGAGAGGCAGACGGCACGCAAATAGGGCTGCTGCCTACTTCGTTCTTCTAACTCCTTCCCTTCCCCACCCTTCACTTTTCTTCTTCCCTTAGTTCAGTCTCAAATACGATTGTGAATACAGAGCTCCAAACCATGCCTTTTTCAAGTGATTTGCCTTGACCTTGAGCATCCAGGGCAGAGCAGATCCCGATCCCATCACCCAGAGCTCCCCTACTTTCCCCAAGCCTCACTCATCACAGCTGTTAGTTATGTGGTCCCCGTGGCCTCCCATCTAATGCCTGTACCTCCTCTGCAGACCAAACTGGGCAGGGGCTGGGCAGAGCTTGTTTTCTGGGTCCCCACTCCTGATTAGTGTGGCCTTCAGGCACTGGTGCTCCAGTTTTATGGACCAGGGTGGAAAGCAGGCAGAAGCATGTAGGCATTTGCATAAAGCTCTGGACATAGAACACTCAGCGCCGCTATTCTGGGGTCTAGGACAAAGCCTGCCCCACCATGAGCAGTCCCAGGTAGCAAAATGGCAGGGTGGTGCCTCACTCCATCCTGTTTTATTCCCAGCTGGGTTTTGAAGCCCCAGCTGCAGCCAGTTTGATGTGATTGAAACAGAGCTTCAGGGAGGAGAAAGGAGGCAGAGGACTAAATATCCTAGAATATTTATTCCATTAAGTTCTTTCAATGAGGGGGAAAAAAAAACAACAAAATTATTTTTCCATTTTAAAAAAGAAAAAGACAAACCCAGCAGGAGATTAAGAAAATGAATGAAAGGCTTATTAGTCAGGGAAGTATTTTGTTTACTCCCTGCAGGCTGCATTCCACAATTACTACTTTTCTTCTATTAACAAAAAAACCCTGGTCAAATGATAGGATGAATTGTCTGCCTGAGCCTCGGAAGGATTTACTGAGGCAAAATCTCAAAAAAAGAATGTGTGGCAGAGTGCTGCTTCTTCCAGTAACACTGTAGGTGGCAGGTAATTTCAAGGGCTGATCCTACCGCCCAAGACAAAGCATTTGGGATATCACAGCCTCCCTCCATCGAAAGGAAAATAATGCAGACAGATTAAAAAACAACAGCAACCACAACACTGGATTTTGACCCTTAAGAGCCAAAGAGAAGCTGGGCACAGTGGCTCATGACTGTAATCCCAGCACTTTGGGAGGCCGAGGTGGGTGGATCACCTGAGGTCAGGAGTGAGGATCACCTGAGGTCAGAAACCCTGTCTCTACTAAAAACACAAAAATTAGCTGGGCATGGTGGCAGGCACCTGTAATCCTAGCTACTTGGGAGGATGAGGCAGGAGAATCTTTTGAACATGGGAGGTGGAGGTTGCAGTGAGCCAGGACCATGCCACTGTACTCCATGGAGTGAGACTCCATCTCAAAAAAAATAAAAAAGAGCCAAGGAAGGATGCCTACCTTGTGAGCAGTAAGGACACACCAGCTTTGCCACTCTGGACCCAGGAGCTCCTGGGGCCACACTGTGAGGATGGCCCACCCTGGGCTCTAGAACAAGAGAACCAGACCCTCCCCAAGGCCCGCCAATCACTGCACTACCTGATCCAATCCTCACTCCAGCCCTATGGGTTAAGGAGGTACTATGAGTTTATTAGTTCATTCTCACATTGCTATACAGATCCTACCTGAGACTAAGTGATTTATAAACAAAAGAGGTTTAATTGACTTATAGTTCCACATGGCTGAGGAGGCCTCAGGAAACTTAAAATCATACAGAAGGTGAAGGGGAAGCAAGGCACGACTTACATGGCGGCAGGAGAGAGACAGCATAAGGGAAACTGGCACTTTTAAACCATTAGACCTTGTGAGAACTCCCTTATTATCATGAGAACAGCAGGGGGAAGCTGCCCTCTCTCCTCTCTGTGACCCAGTCACCTCCCACCAGGTCCCTCCCTCCAAACGTGGGGATTCCAATTCAAGATGAGATTTGGGTGGGAACACAGAGTCAAACCATATCAGTGATTATCTCCATTGTTCAGATAAGAAAACAGAAGTCCAGAGAGGTTAAATAACCTGTCCAAGCTCACACAGCTAGTAGAATTTGAAGTCAGGCCTGTCTGAAACCAAGGCTTGAGACTTTTTTCAAGCCCTGCCAGTTGCTCACTCCAGAGACTCTATCAAAAGCCAGAGCCTAAGTACGAGGGAAAAGCAGGGATACACACCATATCCTACCTACCCTTCCAGAGACATCCTAACCCTAACCCCACCTTTCCCAGAACTTCCAGGAATGATCCCCCATTCTATGGATCCATCAGTCATGGATAAGCTTTGCCCCAATATTCTGGAATATTACAGAGAAAATGGAAACATCAGGCCTCATGAATAGCAGCTAAAACAACCAAATTAATCTTCATGGCCTCTTCCTTTCCCTTCTTTTTGGTCTGTATTGGAACAGGCAGGAGGAAAAGTGAGCCTATTTACCAATAATGATGGTTTTCTTCACCTTCTCTATTCTCCTATATTCAGCTACCTGGAAGGCCAAAGGGGCGGGAAATGTCAGAAACAGAGTAAATATAAGTGGATGGCATTTTCAAATGTCTAATCATTTTTGAAAACCAGTTGCAATGTCCAATGCATAGAAATGCATAGAACTGCATGTCTTTGCGACACTGCACCACATACTTCATTCCTGGGAACATCTACCCAGAGACTGGCAAAGCTTGGTGTCACCTTAGTGACCTACTGAGCTGCCCCAAGAGGGAGAGACCTTCTCCCACATTGCACAAAATATTCACTGGCAATGGGGTGCCCAATTTTACACAAAGGATTTATGTAAGAAGGCTTCATGACTGGATTACACAAGGTCTCACACTTAGTATTTTGTTTTCATTGGTCGAAGGAGGCATGAAACAGGGTTCCCTCATTTGTGTGATTAAACCCTAGCAAGACTTCTTTGTAATCCGTCTCCTGTGTGACTTTCCAAGAGCTCTGAGGGAAGGCTCCCATGAAGCCAAATCTTTCATCGCCTGTCTTGGGCATTGGTTATACGGTGCCTGGCAGGCTTCGCACGGCAGGGCCGGTGGAAAGACAAACAGTGGTTTCTCCTTCCTGAGGGCAGTGGAGTGTCAGGATGGCTCAGTAGCCAGCTATACTTCCATGAAAGACCAAAGCCATAAAAAGTCACCTTGCCTCTGCATGCCATTCATCCCAAATGAGAAAACACAGACTCTGGGAAAACCAACTGTAGAAAAGCTCTCCAAATGCACAAAACCAAGCAAGACGCCTCCTTCTGAGCAGCCCTGTCTCGTCCGGTGGAGAGCTCAGCTGCTCCTGCCGTCCTGCACACTGCCTTTGCTTCTTTCCAGTGGAAACATACTAGGACACAGCGACGCTCTCTCCCCACTATAAATTCAAAAAATTAAAAGAGCACCAAAGAAAAGAGAATTTTGGAAAGGAAGTAAGCAGCTGTCAGAATAAATTTATATGAAACAAACACTCAAATATTGATCTACTCCCAAGATTTCCAAAACCTATCTATAAGCCCACAGTCGAATTGCTTGTGAAAGCTTTTTGCACAATAAGCGCTGAATAGGAATGTCAGTTGGCAGTAGAAAAAGATCCTTAAGGGACAAATGATGATCTACAGATAGACAGAAATAATTCACAGCACTATTTTTACTAGAACTTACCCTACGCAGCCCTCCTTGAGTCAGTTGATGAGGAAGTAGATTGCAGTATTTATTTGTGGCAGATGTATACTTTTGGTTTGCACTACATGATCTTTTTGGGAAATGCCCCTCCCCACCCTCTGTGATTTCCTGGAGCTGTTGCTCCTGGGACTTTACCACCTACGTCCAGCAGTGAGGACGGACTGTGTCCTTGTTGTCTAAGGGAGGCAGCTTCTGAGGGCGCCCCACAGCAGTCCCACCTCCTCGCGTTCACACCCTCATGGAGCCCTGGCCTGCAGTGGACCACAGCTGGTCTAAAGTGACCAATGATGGCAGAAAGGATGGTATGTGTCACTTCCGAGGTTAGGTTTTACAAGACTGAAGCCTCTACAGTGGGTTCTCCTTGTCTCTTCTTTTCTTTTCTCTTTCTCTCTTGGATATGCCATTCTGGAAAAAGCCACTTGCCATTTGAAAAGGACACTCAGGCAGCCTATGAAGAGGCCACATGGTAAGGTGCCCAACAGCCAGTGAGGAAGTGAGGCCTGAAAGCAGCCATATGGGTGAGTGTGGACGAGATCCTCCAGCCCCCATGGGCTGGAGAAGAAGACCTGGCCAACAGCTTGACTGCAGCTTTGTGAGAGGCCCTGAGCCAGGGCTACCCAACTAAGCTGCTCACAGATTCCTGACCAGAGAAATTGGTTTAGGTAATATATATGTGTATATATATATATATATATATAGAGAGAGAGAGAGAGAGAGAGAGAGGGAGAGAGAGAGAGAGAGAGATGGAGTCTCACTCTGTTGCACAGGCTGGAGTGCAGTGGAGCAATCTTGGCTCACTGCAACCTTTGCCTCCTGGGTTCAAGCGATTCTCCTGCCTCAGCCTCCCTAGAAGCTAGAATTACAGGCGCATGCTAACATATCCAGCTAATTTTTGTATTTTTAGTAGAGACAGGGTTTTACCATCTTGGCCAGGCTGGTCTTGAACTCCTGACCTCATGATTCACCTGCCTCAGACTCCCAAAGTGCTGGGATTACAGGTGTGAGCCACCATACCCGGTGGTAATACAAATTTAAGTTTCTAAGTTTTGGAGTAATTTGCTCAGCAGCAATAACTATACATTGAACAATCAGACTCTGCCGAAGCCCTAAACTCACTAAAGACTGTGATTGGCCTGGGGTGGAAACATAAGCTAAGCAGAACTCATCAGAATCCTTTTCAGGAACTGACATGGATACTAGGTGACAGAGAGTCAGGCCATCTTCTCTGGGATCATGTCTGTGGGTATAAAGTCAGCCTAGAGTGTGGCTCTCAATTAGAGGCTATACTGCCCACTAAGGGGCATTTGGAAATGTGGGGGATGTATTTAGTGGTCACAATGTATGGGGGCACTGCTGGCATTTGATACCTCAAGCCAGGGATGCTAAATATCCTGCAATGTATGGGACAGTCCCACATAACAAAGAAGTATCCATTCCACATTGTCACTAGCAGTTGGGTTATTGATGTTTGCCACCAAAAGAGCGATGACTATTTCATCATCCAACCATCCATTTATTCAAACAATATTTATTGAGCCTTTACTATGCGTAAGGCACTGGTTTAAATCCTGAGGATACATAGTTAAAAAGAATCAATCCAGAATGACAAAGAGTTAACTAGCAATTACAATACAAGATACATACTCTCCCCACTACCCTTTAATGCTCTGGAAATACAAAAGCAGAACATCAGCTCAGTCTAATGGTAGGAGGTAGTCAGGGAAGATCTCACTCAGATAAAAAAAGGAAATTGATAACTTGTAAGAGACAGTCCAGAAATGCCAGCAGAAAGAGTAGAGGAGCCTTGTTTGATAAACAAGTGACTCATTGCCCAGGCCAAAGCTTTTAATATATCCTACTTCTGGCTGTTGAGACTGAGATCACAGTGATTCAAGAATCACTTACAGGCCATTTGGGAAAACATAGATTAATAAGACAAAGAGGCATTGATCCAATAAACTGTTCCTTATAAAGCACTCGGGTCATTTTCTTTCTCTACTTCCTTATGATCGCTAGTATTTCATGGCCCGAAATAAGCCTCTATTATGAAAGGAACTCTGCTTTTTAAAAGTGATGAAGGGAGAAGATATTTTGCCCCTACCAGACTCAGGTTAGAGCGGTCAAAATCATTTTCATTTGCTCCCAACATTTTCACATTTCCTTCACCGGTACACAGGTTACAGGAGGGAACTACACACTATTAATTGGTGCTGTTGCAATCACACTGTTTCATAGCGCCAGAAGGGAAACAGACAGTCCTCAGTGTCAGGAAGGCTCTCAGTCCCCAGTGAGCACCCAAACTGGGTCTAGGGCATACGTGGAGAAAGGCATAGCCACTGAATTTTTTCCCAGGTATCTCTATATCCCCAGCGAGCTCCCCTAACCCTGAAATTCACACACCACCAATCAATCATATCATAATATCAACTGGAGGTCTATGGAGAATAAGGCGTTATTCCAGGCATATAGGAAAGCAGAGGGAAAGGGACACAGTCCTTGTTCTCAAGGAAGCTGCAATCTAATTAAGGAGATACTCGTGAAGTGACAAGAATTCACTGTCACAGAGCTGGCTGAACCACAACAGAAGACTGAATAGGAGGTGGTTCACAGATACCTGCCTGGGCCTTCCCCTGGGCCTGCAGAATGGGTAGTGTTTGATCAAGAAGAGAGAAGGAAGAATGCTTTCCCTAATGGAAATGAATAGAATTCCCTAATAGAATGCGCAGAGACAGGAGGGAGCCGCCGAAACAGCCAGACTGAGAGTCCAGAAAGCGTGTGCTGGGAAACAGAATCCAGGAGGCGGGGTGAGCCAAACTGGGGGACCAGGGAAAGGCCGGTGTCCAGCTAGCAAGCCATTGCCTCTCAGTCCCAAATCCATCCCTCTGTACCTGCTCTGTGACAAGGGAGTTCGGGTGTTTCTCCTTTGCACCAAACACAATATTCAGCTTTGTCAGTAGAGTGCTCTGGGTCTATGCAGGAGGAAGGGGCATCTCCTCCTGGGTCTAGCTTGCTGCTGTCTTCTCCTGCCTCTAGCGGCATGACTCTTATCATGGGCCCCGCCGTGTGCCCAGAGTGTGCAGTCTTCAGGTTCATGATCCAGCCCTGCCTCTTGGCCACCCATGGTGACCACCTCACTGCAATGTTCCTAATGCAGACCTGGCATGGCCCAGTATTCACTACCCTGCTGGAGAGTACCCCCTTGACACCCCACAGCCCTCCACACACTCTCCCACCAGCTTGCAGAATGGAGGTCTGTGGAGAGTAAGGCATGATTCCGGGCATATAGAAAAACAGAGGGAAAGGGACAGAGGGCCTTAGCCTCTACTCAAAACCGTTGTTCTATCCTTGCCCATATCCAACACCATTGTTTTCTCCTTGCCCAGCAACCACGGGCAATCCAGAGAACCTTTCTGTCACCCAGTGGGCTACAACCACACCTTCTCTGATGCAGTCAGAACCCCAGCCTTGAAGAGGGGTCTTCTTTAAGCTCATCCTTCCCCAGGTGCTCTCCATCAGCCTCAGGGTCACCTTCAGAGTCTTCTTTACATCTTCTCATAACTTGCCTGTTACAAGTAATCTTTATATTAAACATCCCACATTCAAATTACTGTGTGGTTTCTGTTTCCTAATTGGACCCTAAATGACACAGCCAGGTAGAGAAATCCAGATGATGTGGGAAAGGGGCCCAGGCAAGTGGAGGTGTGGATGTGTGTGCTATAGAATGGGGTGGAGGTGCTGGCCTAGCAGAGCAACAGGTGCCAGAGCTGTTTTGTTCCTGGTCCAGGTGATAATCTCAGGAAAATGAAGAAGAGTGGGAGGGATGAGAAAAGGAGAGGGAGAGAGAGCAGAGGAGGGGAGGAAGAGCAAGAACCATAGTCGTGGAGATCTCCTCCCTCCAGCGTCTCAGCTTCCCGTCCATCCATCACTGGCTCTCAGTAGATGTCCCTGATCCTGCTGACCCCCAGCCTGAGAGCCAGCACGGTGACGTGTTTGAGAATGATGGGCCTGAGAGGAGCTTGGGGAACGGCCTGGAGTGAGTGGCTGATATGGTCTGAATGTGTTCCCCAAAGTTTATATGTTGGAAACTTAATCCCCAATCCAACCATGTCAGGGGGTGGGGCCTATTGGAGGTTGTAAGGGCTCCACCCTCATGGCTGGATCAGTGCTGCTATAAAAAGAGCTTGCAGGAGTGGGCGCAGTCTCTCACTCTTCTGCCATGTGAGGACACAACATTCATCCCCTCTTACCCTTCCACCATCTACTATGTGAGGACACAGCAAAATGGTCCTCACCAGACGCCAACACCTTGATCTTGGATTTATCCCGTCCTCCAGAACTGTGAGTACATACATTTGTGTTCTTTATGAATTAGCCAGTCTGGGATGGTTTGCTATAGCAGCACAAAATGGACTAAGATAGTGGCAACGAGGGTGGAGGAAACAATGCAGAAGTGAGGTTAGCTGTCTATGGGACCAGACAGTCCAAAGGAAGAATGGACACGGACTGGTCACAGGCTAGGTCTAAGCAACCAAGGATTCTGGAAACAGACACGCAAACCCAAGCAGTAGTTATTTCTAGGAAACATCTCTTAAGAAAAGAAGAAAAGAGAGGATTGGCCTCTCCCGTGTGTGCATTCCTTGGCCAGGTCATTGGCCTTTCTCACCTTAGCTTCTGTACATACACAGTAGGGATGCTAACACCTGCTGCAAGGGATGGTCTTGGAGATTAAGTGGGATGCCCTTGGTGCTATGTCTGAAACTTGGAAATTCTCATCATGTTGGAATGTGGACAGCAAGGGTGGGAAGTCCCAATGGGTGAGCTTAGATCCAGGTGTGGGGTATGTGAAGTTGGGAGGGGCTGCCTACGTGAATAGGGCCCCTCATACTCTGGAAAATGAGGAAGCAGCAGGAGAGCTTCTGTCTCCTAACACAGGGCAGGAGAATTCTCTGAGTGAAGGAAGAATTCAAAAAGAAAGAGGGAGGAAATCACAACCTCTCACAACTTTGCTGGAACTGGGGCTTTTCAATTTTCAACCAGTCATCTTATCACATTTATTGATGTTCCTCCCCAGTTTTAGCAAGGCAGATGCCATTTAAAGTGTATGAGTAGGCCAGGCGCGGTGGCTCATGCCTGTAATCCCAGCACTTTGGGAGGCCAAGGCAGGCAGACCACTTGAGGTCCAGAGTTTGAGACCAGCCTGTCCTACATGGCAAAACCCCATCTCTACTAAAAATACAAATATTAGCCAGGCATGGTGGCCGGTGCCTGTAATTCCAGCTACTTGGGAGACTGAAGCAGAAGAATCACTTGAACTGGGGAGGCAGAGGTTGCGGTGAGCGGAGATAATGCCACTGCACTCCAGCCTGGGTGATAAGAGCAAGAATCCATCTTAAAAAATTAATTAATTAATTAATTAAAGCGTATGAGTACATTTTTTTCTTGGAACTGACATTCCATGAGTACATTTTTAAATAGATATTCTACTGCCTGGTGCAGGTACATCAGAGGTAACCCGTGCTCTGTGGGCACATCAAAAAGTCAAGAGAAAATGCATGTATTACTTTCATTGGGGACCTTCCCACCTCGAATATTTTTAAACTTCTGATCTTAGAAGATCCCCTAAAGGTTAATTAAAAGCTTTACTTTCCAGCCTCTGG